GCCGCCTGTTAATCGTGGTTAATTTTTGGTTATGACAGCCAATCACGTTCCTCGCCGCAACCAAGATTCCTACTATTCTTGGTTATGACAGCCAATCACGTTCCTCGCCGCAACCAGATTCCTACTATTCTTGGTTATGACAGCCAATCAACGTTCCCGGCTGCAAACCAAGATTCGTACGCTTATGGCCAATCGCGGCTCTTATCGCTACCGTCATGATTTTGCTTAGTAACTAACCAGAATTGACCAATAAACGTCAAGATTCACCTCCCCCTGTGACTTGCGAATTGGGACCGGAGAAGAGGATGACAATTCATTGATTAACTTCGGATCAAAAGTCGCAAAGTAAGTCAGTCTTTTGTCAATAAAAGTAAAGTGCCAAATAGTTGTTTTATATGAATAACCTGTGTCTCAGACTAGCTAATAATTCAAGTAATTAATACAATTCATAATTAAAAGTATTTAGATAAAACGATCAAGCAGAACAAAGTATATAACGTTACAGTTTACTACAGCTTTACTTGTTGCAACATTAAAATGATTGTTACACTAAGGCATCACTAATTATAATTCAATTAATATATAGTGTACATTATGCTTCTACTTTTAGTACTTTTACTTTATTTTGACGCTAAACTAACTTGTTTTCGCTAACGTTAAGTAGGCTAACATTTTGAATGCATTAATTACATTTAACTGTTACTTGTAATAGAGCAAAGGATTTCAAAGAGGGGAAAGTAGTGGTATAACAATGGTATAATAATGGTATAATAATTATTGAAAAAATGACCTCTTACTCTGGGATCATTCTGAGATTCTGATGTGTAAATCAACATTTTAAGCCTGTTAGAAAAATATAGACACACAAAGCATAATAGCCTATATAATCAACATTAAAAGGTGTTCATGATTAAATATAGTACTGTAATATGCATTGCTGTATTAACTAATGTGTTACCAAATGTGTTTGTTTGTTTCTTTCTCTATAGTCTTTATATCTTCAAATTATTATTATTTTATTTAGATGGAACTTTTCAAAGAGGGGAAAGTAGTGGTATAACAATGGTATAATAATGGTATAATAATTATTGAAAAAATGACCTCTTACTCTGGGATCATTCTGAGATTCTGATGTGTAAATCAACACTTTAAGCCTGTTAGAAAACTATAGACACACAAAGCATAATAGCCTATATAATCAACATTACAAGGTGATCATGAGTAAAGTAATATAATATGCATGGCTGTATTAACTAATGTGTTACCAAATGTATCTGTCTGTTTCTTTCTCTATAGTCTTTATATCTTCAAAAAAAAAAATTGTTTTTTATTTAGATGGAACCTCGCTTCAGGAGACGAGCTGATGGCAGCCTGAATTTGACTGATACAATGGAAGCGGCAAAGGTGAAGGAGGCCAACAAAGGAAAGCCCTACGCAAGACCCCTGTCCCCTGACATAGTGCTGGACAAGGCCAAGAAAAGCTTAAGTCAGCACCATGGAGATCCAGCTAACAGAAAGCACCTGCTGGGTTTCTTTGAAATCCAGTTTGGTGTATTTCGAGGGCAAACATTCAAGTGGGTGGCTGAAAATGCCCTGGGGTATGCAGCTTACCTGGTGGCAGCTATGAAGAGGGACCCCACAGGAGGCAGCAAAGACTCCCAAGAACATGCCCACAACAAAGAGAGTTTTAGGGAGTATGTTGAGCTCTTTCCTTCTGGCAGAATTGCCATTGCCATGAAGGAAGAGCAATATGCTGGGAAAGATCTCCAGCACGCTGCCTCGACCCAGCACGCTACCACCACCCAGCACGCTACACCACCCAGCACGCTACATCACATCCCAGCACGCTACACACACCCAGCACGCTACCATCACATCCCAGCACGCTACCACCACCCAGCACGCTACCACCACCCAGCACGCTACCATCACATCCCAGCACGCTACCACCACCCAGCATGCTGCCTCCACCCAGCACGCTACCATCACATCCCAGCACGCTGCCTCTACCCAGCACGCTACCACCACCCATACTTCTACTGCCCATCTCCGCTCCCTCTTGTTTAGGAAGTTGCCTAACCAGAAAAACCTGACCAAGACCATTGAAAGGCTGGTTTCCCCCGTCAAATCCACACCTTGTAAGCAAACATTTATTTGTATAACACCTTTTTGGTGTGTTTAGTATTTATTGTTTTGTATGATTTTAGGATTTATTGTTCTGTAGTCATGTTTATCTGTTCTGTGTTTTGTTTTGTAGCGTTGGCCAAGGCACGTACGCGTCCCTCAGCCACCCTCACTCGCCCGACTGTGTCCATTGAGGCAGCCACAGGGACCTCAGCCACCCTCACTCGCCCGACTGTGTCCATTGAGGCAGCCACAGGGACCTCAGCCACCCTCACTCGCCCGACTGTGTCCATTGAGGCAGCCACAGGGACTTCAGCCACCCTCACTTGTCCGACTGTATCCACTGAGATAGATGACAGCACACTGCTGGCAGAGGCAACTAAGTTTGAGATGGCACATCTGTCATGTACGTTTATACTTATTTAAAACATGCAACAAAATATTCAAGTTCCATTCCAGGGATAAAAAAGTTAAGGGAAGTTAATGTGAATTTGCATTTGTTGTATTTATTATATATATATATATATATTTTTTTTTTCCCCAGCACAACGAGTCTGTCTTCCATCTGGATGGATACACACTCTGCCTGAAGTGGATCAGAGATGGATTTCCAAGGCTCTGTTCAGGTGGACAGCACAGGGCCACCCTGAGCTGATCTTCAGCAGGGTGGACAAACTTTGGTGGTATCCTCCACAGGTTCCACTGAAGACCAGTAATTGCCCTCCCTTAGAGAATTACTTTGGCCATCCCCTGCTGCTCTGGATGCCACGAAAACTGTGGCAAGTGAAGCTGACCTGTCCACATCCAGACTGTCAGAAAGACCTTCTGACTTCAGCTGGCTTGCATCAAAAGATCAGGCAGGTGATTGCCTTGGGTAAGACATACTTTGTGGCATCTGAGTACCTGGCCTGCCGAAGATGCAAGAGGAAGGTCATCAGCTGGAGCCATGATATCGTCTCCCAGCTCGACATTGGCCACAGGGTGCAGTTCCCTTGCATTCTTACATCAAAACTTGCATGTGACATGGAGGTAGTATGTTTGATGCGTCAGCGAGGGCTGGGAAACAGCAGCAGCCAGATCCAGCGCAAGCTGCAGGAACGTCATACTGAGGTGTGGTTGCAAAAGACAGTCCAGTATCTGACATTGCAGGATTGCAAGGGCTGTCAGTTCACTTCGAGCCTGATCCTGCACATTGAATCTGCTCCTTCGATGCCTTCTGTCCCTAAGCACCGGTGGTTGATGCAGGTGTACGCCCAGGATGTCCTGCAAAGGCTGGATGAGATCAAAGCGCACTATCACATCTCAATATGGTCGGATCTTAAAAATGGATTCAACAAAAAAAGTGGCCAGAAAACTAGCGGGACGGAGCTATGGCACTGCTACCTGGGCGACCAATGTTGGCAATGAGCACGGACAGGTGATCATGTCCGTGCTCACAGCCAGTGAAGGTTTTGGTCTCGGGCCAATGATTGAAGGCCTCATCAAGCGATACAGAGTGGCTGGGGTGGCTCCTCCCGAGATACTGTATGTCGACCGAGACTGCTGTGGCAACACTCTTCTGAGGAGAATGTTTGAAGAGTGGGAGCGAATGATCATCCGTTTAGATGTATGGCACTTCATGAGGAGGTTTGCTGTGGGTTGCACCACTGACTCTCATCAGTTGTATGCCACATTTATGAGTCGCCTCAGCCACTGTATTTTCATGTGGGACCAGGTTGACCTGGCGGCCCTGAAGAAGGCAAAGCATGCAGAGCTAGAGGCTAACTGGAAACCTACATCCGAGGCTGATGTGTTGCGCAGTATCAGCCGTAACGAGCTAGCCCTACATTGCAGGAGAACCACTCGCGGGACCAAGGAGACCCTGGCGCTGATTGAAAGCCTTATTCAGGCCTTTGATGGAGATGCTGGTCGTGACACTATGGGAGTCCCACTAATAAACTCAGCCCGGATGAGAGAGATCTTGAAGTCCCAGCGGAAGCATGTGGCCTGCATCCAGGATCCTGTAGGTGTGCAGCTCTACGTGCAGACGGGCACTGTAGTGAAGGGAGGGCACCGTCTGCCAACCTACCGCTGTGCCAGAGGCTCCACTTCGCTTGAGTCATTTCACCTGCACCTTAACAGATTCATCCCAGGTAAATAAGTGACTTAACTGAATTATTAAAATAAGATTTTAATTAATTATATATTAAAATAACTATAGGAACAGTTATTTGTGTATCCATATGACATTTTTGTGTGGTCTTATTTTTTTTTTTTTTGAATTTACAGGTACGCTGGCGAGTGACACCTTCTTCCAGGCATATCTTTTGGATGGACTTGCAAGGTGGAATGAGGACCGGGCTGTGGCAGCAACAACGGATGAGCAGCAGCCCCATTCCTACAATCATCTTCTGCGTCATGCTGTCAACACTCTTGCAGAGGAGGTTATGGGCAAGAAAATCATCCCTTATGTTGGGCCAAGAAAGTACACTGGTAGCTAACTATTTGTTATTTTTGGTGACATTTTTTTAAGTGTACACATACCATTTAACCTCTGAATTATAATATAATATCCTGGTATACTATCTAATTTTTAATGTTTAATATTTTAAAGGTGAGCTTATTGGAGTGGAATATCTTTACCAGCAAACTGGTAAAGTTCTGCAAGACTACAAGTTGGCCATTGAAGAGTCCGAGACCACTGAGGTTGGTATAGAAGTGGATGAAGGTTATGCTGAACTTGAGGAGTTTCAGGACATCACTGTCCCTACCCTTGACACAGAACGGACACCTGTTGCCTCTTCACAAGCATCAGTGTCTGCAGCATCATCTCCAACCCCTCCTGTCACCAGCTCCATTTCACCATTGTCTGTGGTTCCTCCATCACCAACCCCTCCTGTCACCAGGTCCATTTCTCCATTGTCTGTGGTTTCTCCATCACCAACCCCTCCTGTCACCAGCTCCATTTCACCATTGTCTGCGGTTCCTCCATCACCATCCACATCTGTCACCTGCTCCATTTCACCATTGTCTGTGGTCCCTCCATCTCCTGTCACTAGCCCACTGCACAGTCATTTAAAGCCAGGACTCTTTCCTGGAGCACATAGCTGTGAGTTTACCAAAGTATCTATATAGAGTTATTGTGACAACAATTACCAGCACCTCTATGTATGTATGTCTTATTGAAAGGCAAAAAATACAAATTTAAACTGAATGTTTGCCTTTTCATGTATTTCCAGTGGACCAGTCATCAGCAGAAACTTCTGAACATCTGACATCTGAAGAGAACACTTCACATGATGTAAGGGCCCAGTGTACATTTACGTCTGTAAACAAAATCTTAGTTATGTTTGCTGTGCTTTCATGTGAATATTTGTATTCATTGCTGCTATCAAAAGTTCCTAAATTATCTTTTATTTTAGGATTCTGTTGGACCAGATAATATTGGGGGGTATGGAGCCGTGCAGGACTTGGCTGAGTTCTTGGTTAGCCTCAGAGACCACCGTCTGGCCTTGACTGGTGAAGAGTGCGCCAAGATCATCACCCTATGGCAAGCATTGGTGGAGTATGACAAGAGGAAGACAATTTATCCACCACGTCACCAAACCTCCTTAAAACAGGGACGATTCAGAGCCACAAAGAAGATTGTGGCACCAGGTGTGGAGAGCACCAAAAGGTATGTTAAATTTAGCAAACACAGGAAAAAATGAACATCGTAGACAACACAAAGCAAAACAGACAGATTAGAAAAGGAGGGAAAAAAGCAAGAAAAATAACAGAGTAAGGATCACACATTGAAACGAATATGTATTCTGCTGTAATTTGCAGGTGTTTCGTTGGGGCTCATAGTCCTGCACAGTGGCCTAGCTGCAACCGAGTGGTGGAGGCCATCTTCACAAGGCTCTGTGCCCTCTATCCAAACGTGGTGCGGTGTGATGGAGTGAGGGTGTCCCGCTTCACAATGGTGGTGCGTGCTTACAAGCACATCCGAGAGTGCATCCTCTCTAATGCTAAGGTGATGAGCGAGACCACCATCCAGCTCCCGGAAGTAAACAGTGCAACAGTGACACAATGGTGAGTAAATTAGCATTGTTCTAAGCATAAATTGATCAGCAAATCAGTTTTTTCACTTCTCTCTGCACCTGCACCTCTCACTGCATCTCTCACTGCACTCTCACTGCACCTCTCACTGCACCTCTCACTGCACTCTCACTGCATCTTTCACTGCACCTCTCACCCACGTCTCACTGCACCTCTCACTGCATCTCTCACTGCACGTCTCACTGCACCTCTCACTGCACCTCTCACTGCATCTTTCACTGCACCTCTCACTGCCACGTCTCACTGCACCTCTCACTGCATCTCTCACTGCACGTCTCACTGCACCTCTCACTGCACCTCTCACTGCATCTTTCACTGCACCTCTCACTCCACGTCTCACTGCACCTCTCACTGCATCTCTCACTGCACGTCTCACTGCACCTCTCACTGCACGTCTCACTGCATCTTTCACTGCACTCTCACTGCACGTCTCACTGCGCCTCTCACTGCACGTCTCACTGCATCTTTCACTGCACCTCTCACTGCACGTCTCACTGCGCCTCTCACTGCACGTCTCACTGCATCTTTCACTACACGTCTCACTGCACCTCTCACTGCATCTCTCAAACGAACAAACAAACAAACAGCTACCGTACCAGCGGCATTTTACTAAAGCAATGATACACGAGACAAGGGTGTGATCAATTGCTCTGTGATCTTAGCTGTGTCTTGCTGTTACATCATAGTCATGATCAAACAGTAGTTGAACATACCATCTTTTGTATAATTGCTTAGATGTTTATTATAATTGGTTGCTTTATGTTTTCCCAGGTACAGCAGGCGTTGTAAGTCACAGGAGCAGGAGATATTGAAACAGGGTATCCAAGCCCCTGAAGCACCCATGGCAGGACCTGAGAACCTTCCTGCTGCTTTGCAGAAAAGACCGACTCTCTGTTCCGGCAATTTGTCAGAGCCACACATTTTTATCCTGCCACCAAATACTGCTGGGGAGGCTAAACTCAAAGGGAGGTCGCAACCTCAGCAACCTCAGGCCATCTTCCAGGCTCCACCATCACACCAAGGACTTCCTGTCCCTATTGCACCAGCACCACCTGTCTCTCTCCCTTTCATTTTACCACCTGTGCAGCCTCCTACAGTGCCTGGTACCTCACAGGTGATGTTCTTCTTACCTTCAGCTATGACACCATCAGCTCAAACACAGACATCCAGTCAATCGGTTCCTTACTCCACACAGCAATATAGGAAGAGAAAACAGAAGAGGGAGAGCGCTGGAACAGTGACAAGAAAGTATGTGAGAAAGACAGACGTCATTCTTTGCAAAAAGTGCAATAAGGAGAGAAAGCCACCAACACATCTCCAGTACTTTGGGAACTGGTACTGCGAAGAGTCTGAGACTCAATCATATGATGAATGGAGGGCTGTGCTGATGGAACGAG